ATAAGAATTACAATGTATCGCATGTTTTCTATTTTTGAAATTGTACTCAAAGATATATTAAGTTTCATGTTTTATTTATAATTCTGTTATTAAGATTTAAACGGGATATAGTTCCTTTAAATTTATATATGAAGATGGAATATTCTGAATTAAATATGAAAATAACTTATGATTAAATTAAATTTCTGTTTATTTTTCACAATAATTGCAGCTAATCATTTAAATATATTTAAGCTTTGTGAAGCACTGCGCTCGAATAATGTTCATTATTTTGTAATTCCGAAATGCATGATGATGATCATTAAGAAATCTATGATAGAAGACTTCTGGAATTTAAGATCCGATCCGGCGGGTAACTTTATTACTAAAAGCACCAGATTCTGATTATAAAAGATCCTACACGTTCTTGTACCTGGCGGTGTTTTGGATGAGTCAAACATCTTTATGTTATGTAAGTTATTTGCTTCATATTTAGATGGTTAATAAATTTTTTAAAAAAAAATTATCGCACATCAAATACATATGGGCCGATTGGTTTAATAAAATAAATGTGATCATTATGTAATACATGTGATTTTATGTGATTGTTGATGTGGAACATGTGATTGTTTGTGATTGTTGATATTTAACATGTGTTAAGCGAATTCAATTTAAAAATTTAATTTATATACTTGATATATTACTTTGTTTAGATTTGCCCCATAAGTTTTATTCACTAAAAGAGTAATATAGGAATTCTGAATGAATTTCGGCTTGTATTTTTCAAAATAATTTTTATTAATTTTATTAGTTTAAAAAAAAAATCTAAATTTAATATACTTAAATATGTCCCATTTCGTAACATCTCCCCTTTCAAATCTTACTTCTAACGTTTCAACTTTAATAAATAATCAAATTACTTTTGATTTACCATTAACTCCGAGCATTTTTATATCTAAATCACCACCATTGAAAAAATCTTGAGTAATTGAAAATAATAATGACAATATAACAAGTTTTGGAGAAAATAATACTAAAAAATTCGAAGATTGTTATTCTAAGGTTAATGTGATACGTTATCAAGGAAAACATACTTATTACTACCAATATAATATTTTGGATTTGGAAAATTATCCAACAATTGTGCGAAGTAAATTTCGAATTCCAAATGGTTATCTGGTTCAAGTTTTAATTTATGAACGGGATGTTATTTGTCAAACAAATTACGAATTTAATGGAAAGGTGGCATATCAGGTATCACGGGAGGAAGGTGGAAAAAGGTATAATGTAAATAGTTTAAAATCAGCTAGTGATGCTGCGAAACAATTTGTACAGGTTAGATTATTTATATATTATAATAATAAATATTAATTTAATAAAAAATTTTATTTAATATAATTATAAATAAAAAATTATTGCAAAAGGTTCTACTTTATCGGGTGTTATTTTATTTGGTTTAGATTTAATATGTCTTGAGTCACTTCGTGAAAACAAAGAAAATATATTACCAATTAATTCAAAAAAAACAAAAACTATTTTCAAATCTTAAATCTAATTCACAAAAAAAATAACCGGTTAAAAGAATTAGCTTCAGATATTAATTCAAGTGTCAAAGATTTATTTATTTCTCATAGATTTTCTAATATTAATTTAGATAGTTCAAGAATAAATATTCAAGGACAATTTATTAGAATTAAATTTTCAGATTTCAACAATAAATTAGAATCTCAAATTCTATTATTTGTGCTTGTGATAATGGTTTAATTTCACGAGATGGTTATAGACAGTTGGCAGCTGTTCAACCTTCTTTAGAAAGAGAGTGGCATTTTCAGCACGAAAAAAAAGAAATAAATTTAATTATGAAAAATAAAATTCTAATTAAAAATTTCAATATTAATCCAACAAATCAATTTTCTACAATTCAAATATTTATTTGGATGAAAATAATGAAGAAATAATTATTAATAAGAATCAAATGGGAAATGGTTCAATAAGATCTTTAATTGGATTATTAATTACATTGATTCCTGATTTAACAGTCCTGTATTATATAATAATAACATAATTAAAATTAAATTGGGTGGAGATGGACGACAGGTGGGATGATACAATCATCATATAATGTTAACAGCATGTATTTTAAACAAAAAATGTAAGGTTCTTAGTCCTAAATATTAATATTGGTAAGTAATATATTTATTTTATTTTATTTTAAAGAAAAAAATATTAATATTATTAATTTGTAAATAATAAAATAATAGTATTTGTCTTTATCCTGGAACTGAAAAACATAAATCATTGACTATAGCTCATAATCAAATTATTGAAGAATTAACTATTTTACATAATGATGGTTTTATTGACAAAAATAATAATCATTGGAAAATTGAATTTTGGTTTACTGGAGATTGGAAATATATTACATTAGTTCTTGGAATTAATGGTCCAACATCAAATTATTTTTGTTTATGGTGTGACTGTCATAAAAATGAATGAAGAATATAAATAAATCTTAGTCAAATGTGGGAAAAACAAAAGGTATTGTAAAAAATTTATTTATTTTGTAGAATTTAATAATTATTTTTAATTTTTTTTTTACAAATATTTTTTTTTTATTAATAATTATTTTTAATTATTAATTAGGTAAAATTCGTACAAGTTTATTACCAATTTTAACTTCCAAACATTCTATACCTGATGAACTTCATCTAATGTTACGAATTGTTGATGTGTTACTTGAATATTTTTTCTTGGAACTAATGTGTGATCCATTGGCTTTTGACATTGTAATATCACAAGAAAATATATCAACACGAGAAAAAATAGAAATTACAATGCAAGAAATTGGTGTTACTATTTTTAAATTTATTCCTTCAAAAAAAAACAAAAACATCTAAATGGAGTTGGCATACATTAATGGGACCAACAAAATTAAAGATTATTGAGAAATTTCCAGTTTCTAAATTTATAATGGGTCAAAGAGACAAGGATATAGAAAATTTGTGAAGAAATTTTTATAATTTATATTGTACAATGAGACAAGAAAATTTGACTGAAGAAGATATTATTCAATTTTCACAAGATGCTTGTGAATGGGTTAAAGAATTTGCAAGATCAACAAAAAAACAAGAAATGGTAAAATAGAGCAAGAAGGGTTATATCAGCGTGTAGATGTTAGTTCATATATGCATGTCTTTGCATTTTATATACCATTATTTATGTAAGAATTATTACAACAAAATTTGTGTTTACGATAGTTCACTACATCAAGCATTGAAAAAAAAAATCATGAACATGTAAGTAAATTAAAATTAAATTAAATTTATGATTTTATTTTTATTTATTTTAAAATATTTTAGGTTCAATTATTTTTTTGGAGGAATAACAATGGGAGGAGGGACTGAACAAACTGCTGCTTATCAAATTAATAGTTTTAAAAATCGGCAAATTTACTTTAGAATTAACAAAACATCTACTATGTATCATGAAAAAGTGTTAAATATATCTAATAAAATTGATGATTAAATATAAAATTGAATTTATTAATTATTTAATAAAATTATTTTTATAAATTATTGATTTAAATATTTACTATTTCAACTGTTTCACGCCTCACTTCTAAAATACATTCTAGAATTCCACATGGTATATAAAAAGATTTTTTATTTTTTACTTTGTTAATTATTTTTTCTTGCCAAATAAATACAATTTCTTTTTCAATACATGTACCATCATTATCCCTTTCTTCAACAAGTACAAATGATTCACTTCCTAATTTATTTTTCTTTCTTCCCCATTCTTCACATCTAAATATAGTTCCTATTTTTTTGTACCCACTTTCTCCTTTAAAAATAAAATACGTAATACCTTCGTATATATGGTCAATAGAAAAACCTGATTCATTTAAAAAAGGAAATAAAATAAACCCTCCGGAAATTTCCATCGAAATCTCTTTATGCCTTCAGTAATTCGGTGGAAGCCTAACTTGGAGTCAACATCCTGAAGAAACGCTGCTCGAAAATGTTTTATAATATCTTCAGAAATATATGAAAAATATTGATAATGTGGAACTATACGGTTTTCATTGTGCTTTTTTTTTCATGTGAACTTAAGGAAGATTTTGATGAATATGAACAACTACAAAGGTAACATGAAAATGGCTTGTTACGAAACGCGTTGGATGTGTGAGTTGGCATTTTTATTTAATAATTTATTGCTACGGTAAATCATATTAAATAATCACCAATAATCACATTTAATAATCACATCACATCATAGATTTCTGCCCATATGATAATATAAAAAATTGCTTTATTGCTTTATTTATTAAATTATCTAATTCTCCTAAAATATGTGTTGCTTTTGACATATTCAATTGCCTTTTCATTTTCATTATTTAAATGAAAAAATCTAACAATATTTCTTAATAATCCGATGTTGTTTAATATCTTTCTAATTGTAAAGCATAATTTTTTATCAATGTATATGGTGCATGTATTTGTGTCTTGAGCTTGTTATCAATAAATAAATAAAAATAATACCAGATCTAAAAAAATTTTTTTGATCAAAAATTTGTTATGTTAAAAAATATTTCTATAAATTTAAATATTTTATACCTTTTTAAAGAAGTAAGGAGTTGACCGATTTTAATGCAATTTTTAATATTAAATCATCAAAATGTATAATATCATTATATATTATTATGAAAGTTTCTAATAAAAATTAAATATTATCAATTTTACAAACAAAAAATTTTGGATAAATTATTTAAAAAAACCTGATCATAAAGTTGTCTATTTAAATTATTTATGCCAAATGATAATTTTGCGAGTGAAATTATTATATTACCATCATTCTCCGAAGTTAATTTGATGGTATTCTTCAGGATCAAAATTATTTATAAGAAAGATTGTAATCTTTAATAAAAGTTTTTTTTTATTAGATTTAATTATGCTTATGCAAAGCAAAAATTTAAGCTGATAAATAAATTATTTAAACGCTTACCTAAATTTCTAGCAATCATTTTTTTCTTATAATTACTTTTGAGTGAATTATTAAAAACTAAATTGCCCTAAATTAAAATAACTTGGTACACTTGAAACACGATCATCTTAAATGGTTTAACTGTAGCAATAAGAAAACATGCGTGGCGAGGTCTCTGACCATGTCTTCATCAAATCCAAAAATTCTATATGAAAATATATATGTTAATAGAGGAAAAAATAAAAAGTAAAATTCATAAAGAAATGTGATACTGAATTTAAATTATTATATTTATGATTTGTTACGATATTAGTTTGCATCTAAATACGTATTATTTAAATTTTTTTGACAAATAATAAACAAACATTAAATAATTGACAAATTATAATCATAATTATTGTAAAAATTAATTTTAACAAAGTAAATTGGATAATCATAACGTTATGCGATATTTTTAATGTTGCACAATTAAAGCTCTCAACAGTTCGGTTCGGTTTGGCAGTAAAACCGAAACATGAATACTCAATCCGAAACCGAACCGGTTATTTTCGGTTTAAATATTAAATTTAAAGTCTCACTGGTGGTGATTGTCACCACTAGGCAAAATTACATAATTCCCTGATCAACCCATCCTAACTTCGCCCAC